CATTGCAGCACACTCTGTATCAACAAATACTTCCCTGAAGAGGGTTCATAAACTTCTAACTTTCCAGCATCTACAACTTTTCCTGTTTTAGAGTCTACTCCAAGAACAATACCATTGTTGTTCCAAGACTTCTCAACTTCATGTAGACAATGCATAAAATTTTCTTTTTGGTGTGAAATAGAAAATGAATTTTGATGGAGTGTGTGTGGAATAGTTTGCAAAGCTTTACTTAATATTTCCAAGGCTTGTGACATATTGGGATCTACTACATTGAGTGAATGAAGTTTCAAACTAAAGCTCATAGCAAACTCAGCAGCACCACAACCAGGTATAAATAGCCTACAGTTTTTTTACACCTAAGAATTTTTCTGTCCTCAGCAGCTGTGATAAGCATTGCAGCACACTCTGTATCAACAAATACTTCCCTGAAGAGGGTTCATAAACTTCTAACTTTCCAGCATCTACAACTTTTCCTGTTTTAGAGTCTACTCCAAGAACAATACCATTGTTGTTCCAAGACTTCTCAACTTCATGTAGACAATGCATAAAATTTTCTTTTTGGTGTGAAATAGAAAATGAATTTTGATGGAGTGTGTGTGGAATAGTTTGCAAAGCTTTACTTAATATTTCCAAGGCTTGTGACATATTGGGATCTACTACATTGAGTGAATGAAGTTTCAAACTAAAGCTCATAGCAAACTCAGCAGCACCACAACCAGGTATAAATAGCCTACAGTTTTTTTACACCTAAGAATTTTTCTGTCCTCAGCAGCTGTGATAAGCATTGCAGCACACTCTGTATCAACAAATACTTCCCTGAAGAGGGTTCATAAACTTCTAACTTTCCAGCATCTACAACTTTTCCTGTTTTAGAGTCTACTCCAAGAACAATACCATTGTTGTTCCAAGACTTCTCAACTTCATGTAGACAATGCATAAAATTTTCTTTTTGGTGTGAAATAGAAAATGAATTTTGATGGAGTGTGTGTGGAATAGTTTGCAAAGCTTTACTTAATATTTCCAAGGCTTGTGACATATTGGGATCTACTACATTGAGTGAATGAAGTTTCAAACTAAAGCTCATAGCAAACTCAGCAGCACCACAACCAGGTATAAATAGCCTACAGTTTTTTTACACCTAAGAATTTTTCTGTCCTCAGCAGCTGTGATAAGCATTGCAGCACACTCTGTATCAACAAATACTTCCCTGAAGAGGGTTCATAAACTTCTAACTTTCCAGCATCTACAACTTTTCCTGTTTTAGAGTCTACTCCAAGAACAATACCATTGTTGTTCCAAGACTTCTCAACTTCATGTAGACAATGCATAAAATTTTCTTTTTGGTGTGAAATAGAAAATGAATTTTGATGGAGTGTGTGTGGAATAGTTTGCAAAGCTTTACTTAATATTTCCAAGGCTTGTGACATATTGGGATCTACTACATTGAGTGAATGAAGTTTCAAACTAAAGCTCATAGCAAACTCAGCAGCACCACAACCAGGTATAAATAGCCTACAGTTTTTTTACACCTAAGAATTTTTCTGTCCTCAGCAGCTGTGATAAGCATTGCAGCACACTCTGTATCAACAAATACTTCCCTGAAGAGGGTTCATAAACTTCTAACTTTCCAGCATCTACAACTTTTCCTGTTTTAGAGTCTACTCCAAGAACAATACCATTGTTGTTCCAAGACTTCTCAACTTCATGTAGACAATGCATAAAATTTTCTTTTTGGTGTGAAATAGAAAATGAATTTTGATGGAGTGTGTGTGGAATAGTTTGCAAAGCTTTACTTAATATTTCCAAGGCTTGTGACATATTGGGATCTACTACATTGAGTGAATGAAGTTTCAAACTAAAGCTCATAGCAAACTCAGCAGCACCACAACCAGGTATAAATAGCCTACAGTTTTTTTACACCTAAGAATTTTTCTGTCCTCAGCAGCTGTGATAAGCATTGCAGCACACTCTGTATCAACAAATACTTCCCTGAAGAGGGTTCATAAACTTCTAACTTTCCAGCATCTACAACTTTTCCTGTTTTAGAGTCTACTCCAAGAACAATACCATTGTTGTTCCAAGACTTCTCAACTTCATGTAGACAATGCATAAAATTTTCTTTTTGGTGTGAAATAGAAAATGAATTTTGATGGAGTGTGTGTGGAATAGTTTGCAAAGCTTTACTTAATATTTCCAAGGCTTGTGACATATTGGGATCTACTACATTGAGTGAATGAAGTTTCAAACTAAAGCTCATAGCAAACTCAGCAGCACCACAACCAGGTATAAATAGCCTACAGTTTTTTTACACCTAAGAATTTTTCTGTCCTCAGCAGCTGTGATAAGCATTGCAGCACACTCTGTATCAACAAATACTTCCCTGAAGAGGGTTCATAAACTTCTAACTTTCCAGCATCTACAACTTTTCCTGTTTTAGAGTCTACTCCAAGAACAATACCATTGTTGTTCCAAGACTTCTCAACTTCATGTAGACAATGCATAAAATTTTCTTTTTGGTGTGAAATAGAAAATGAATTTTGATGGAGTGTGTGTGGAATAGTTTGCAAAGCTTTACTTAATATTTCCAAGGCTTGTGACATATTGGGATCTACTACATTGAGTGAATGAAGTTTCAAACTAAAGCTCATAGCAAACTCAGCAGCACCACAACCAGGTATAAATAGCCTACAGTTTTTTTACACCTAAGAATTTTTCTGTCCTCAGCAGCTGTGATAAGCATTGCAGCACACTCTGTATCAACAAATACTTCCCTGAAGAGGGTTCATAAACTTCTAACTTTCCAGCATCTACAACTTTTCCTGTTTTAGAGTCTACTCCAAGAACAATACCATTGTTGTTCCAAGACTTCTCAACTTCATGTAGACAATGCATAAAATTTTCTTTTTGGTGTGAAATAGAAAATGAATTTTGATGGAGTGTGTGTGGAATAGTTTGCAAAGCTTTACTTAATATTTCCAAGGCTTGTGACATATTGGGATCTACTACATTGAGTGAATGAAGTTTCAAACTAAAGCTCATAGCAAACTCAGCAGCACCACAACCAGGTATAAATAGCCTACAGTTTTTTTACACCTAAGAATTTTTCTGTCCTCAGCAGCTGTGATAAGCATTGCAGCACACTCTGTATCAACAAATACTTCCCTGAAGAGGGTTCATAAACTTCTAACTTTCCAGCATCTACAACTTTTCCTGTTTTAGAGTCTACTCCAAGAACAATACCATTGTTGTTCCAAGACTTCTCAACTTCATGTAGACAATGCATAAAATTTTCTTTTTGGTGTGAAATAGAAAATGAATTTTGATGGAGTGTGTGTGGAATAGTTTGCAAAGCTTTACTTAATATTTCCAAGGCTTGTGACATATTGGGATCTACTACATTGAGTGAATGAAGTTTCAAACTAAAGCTCATAGCAAACTCAGCAGCACCACAANTATTTTTATTTCCACCTGTTGTCAAAGAAAGGAAACAAAATATTCATACGAAAAAAGCTCAACAGTGCCATGTGATTTAATGCTGATCTAGAATGTAGATAGCTCAATTGTATCAATGGTATGTTTAGGTCAATGTCGTCCATAGACTTCTAAAAAAAACTTACAATAATAAGGTGATCAGTAACAATTTAATAGTAATGATAATATTACACATTCACATTTCAATAATGAATTAATAATTAACACTGTCACATGAGATGAATTTAGCTTTTCTAGCTGCTACATGTACAAATAGTAGTTACAAATAGAATATAAAAAAAGCATGCCTGTCAAATGATAAATGTTATTATAGTATCTTACCTTATCCAAGTGTTGGCTTGAGTCACTTTCAAAACTGAGGGAGGTTTTTACCGTATAGTAAAAAAATATTATATAGTGGGAGCCTTGAAAGGAAGGTTGTCATATTTTTTTAAAATTAAAGCATTTCACGTGTCTTGTTCCACTTCACACATGTTCAATTTTGATCTTTCAGGAAGCTGCTATAATGACAGAATTAATTGCTTACATCTAGCCGAGTTATAGCCTCCCCGCAGACGTCCTTTGGGGTTCGTTCATCACACATTCAAGAATTCGTGACGAACGAATCCCAAAGGACATCTGCAGGGAGGCTAGCTGAGTTACTGTGTTTCCATCAATGATAACCAATCTCATGATTATTTTCTGACCTGTATCTTCTTTTTTTATTTCCTTCATTAGAATGATAATACATGTATAGTTTACCTCATCCCCACCTCCACCCCCACTTATAGCAATTCACCTCTTTGGGATTATCAACCCCTATTTTTTCACCTTTTAGTTTTGTCAAAAGTCATAAATGAAAATAAGTGATTGTGAAATATTACCCTTAGAAAACAGCCAAGATTTTGTGATGCTGCCAGGTCTCCCTGCAAAATGACATTTGAGAAACGAGCACAGAAATTCTGTACAGGTAATGCATCACTATCAAGATCTGGGATGTGTTTCTGATTAGATAAAACCTATTTGGACGCAATCAGAAGCCCTATCCAGATCTGGGTAGTGACTCGTCATCAGTATGGAATTTCTGGGCTTGTTTCTAAGATGTCATTTCGCTGGAGAACCAGTGTGGTTGTTTTTTTCAGGTGAAATATTTGTCAAAAAAAGGTTCAGGTTAGGCAGTCTGAGGAATATACACAGATAGGATATCATAATTTTTTAATAGCTCAGTTATCCCTTTGGAGGGATACAGTGGAACCTCGCCTAACAGCCACCTCGGTAATACAGTCACCTTGTTGTTACAGCCACTTTTTTTTGGCCGCTCGGCAAAAACCACCATACATTTTCTTGTCAAGAAACCCTCATTAGTATGGTCACCACGTAATTTGGCTTCCCCCAAAAAACTTCATATGCTTGTCGAGGAAGTTAAGAAGATAATTCACTAGCTCAATTGCAAAATCCACGAGCCTAAGGCTCCCGGACCCAACTTTCTTTGCATTGCCACTTATTGTTGTACAATTTCTTTCTCATAGATCCAAAGGCAAGTTGCCCAAGGATACAGTGTTATCTGGAACTGCAAAGCAGTGGATAACTTATGCTTTTGTATGGAAGATATTTTCAACCATGGGCTGAAAGAGGGGTTAGTGTGTTGCATTCTCTGAATGTTATTAACAGAAAATTTTTTCTTTGCTACTAACAGTAATGTTGATATTGCAAAATAGAATAGTACATCTGTATGCAAGGACATACATTTTTTAGGGGGTGGTTGTGGAATGTATAGTACTGAGTACTATACCTTTGAGCTTTACCCATTGGGAGGGGGAGGGGCAGCCAAGCAATAACTTGTGGCTGAAGAGGGTATGCTTGATCTATCATTTTAAACACTGTTATGCATTTCACTGCATATTCTGGTACATGTACGGTGTATTGAGCATCTTACATGTAAGCAGGGTGTGTCTAGCCTGTCTGCGGTTTATTCACCAGAAACAATGCGTGCCATCAACATGTGTGTTCGTGGGACTGATGTTGTGATTTTGTGATAAGGTCTCTTCTTTTAGACAGCCTGAAAAGCAAAAAAAAAAAAAGAAGCAAAAATCAGGGTTTGAAGGCCTCAGTGAGGAGTTGTCGGAAAAAACCACAATGGAGGTCAAAAGTCGTTACAAACACACTCAACATGATAAGACTTAATTAAACTGACTCCCATCCTTCCTCACCCCAAGCAATGTAGTTGTAATTTGTTCTCCCTGTCCTGAAAAGAGTTTGCTTTTCACAATGTTGTTTTTTGGGGGAAAGGGAAGCCATTAGAGACATCCAAACTAGTGCAAACATGGATGTCACAATGTATGCTACGACTGATAACACATGTACAGTTTGAACCCTGAAGAAGGCAGCATTGCCGAAATGTTGGTTAAGACTCTTTTGAACAGCATTGATTGTAGAATTTTCAAATTAACACAGTTTGTATGTTCTGCTGTTGAAGGAAGTTTTTTTTAAATCTCTACACCAAAGATTTTTGGCCGTCATTGGAGTTTTCACAAAACTTTAGGTTGGTGGTTAAGCACCAAATTAAAGCTCTAACTTGCCCAAGAAACCAAAACCCTAAAGGATTCTGGTAATGATACTTTTAGTAAAAGTAACATCTTCATACAAAAGGTTGATAGTTCTTTGAAGTTAAGTACTGATACATGTGCCTGATGGTGTTGAACAGATGTGATTTTAATACCCTATGAAGAGGTTTCCTTTGATGGTCAAATACCTACAAAGGATTTCTTGTTACACACTAAAAACTGTTAGAGCCATTATACGTGTAGGTTTCATGTCTGTTGTGGTACAGTGTTATTTTGATTCTTGAGGTTGAAAGACTTGCCAAGAAACTAGGGAAGATGTTGTAAGACTCTTATCCTCAGATAAAGTTCTTTTTGTAAAATGTTTCAATGATTTTGTCATTTTCTAGTTTAAGATTGGCGGTCTTTTTTGCAGGCTTCTCAGCTGGGCTTCAAATAATCAAGTATCTTTTTGGTCACTAGCGAATAAAGTGACATGTAAAAAGGATATAGAAGACATTAACAGGTACTTGACCAGGAAAAATAATAAATATTGTAAATTTATGTTGATTTATTGTGGTGAGTGTCCCACTTGTGTCTTATACATGTTAAGTAATAAATTATTGATAGAACCTCTTCAAAGCTGTCGTAGTGAATAACAAATGACCCCCTCAGTTCGGCTTGATCTAATCCTTGTGAACTGCTCAGAATTTTTTGCTTCAGAACAAAAATCCATGATATTAACCCATTCGCTCCTGGAGTTTTTGCCGAAAAACGCGTTTTGAAGCTAGTCGAGTGGTTTTCTGGTCACTGTCGTGCTATAAAGAGCTAAAACTTACCACAAACCGGTTTACAGGTCGTTCACTTCATGGCCTTCTGATCCAGATGCAAAATATCAGCTTGCGAAGTTTGGGCATGCGCAGAAAGCAAAATTTTGAGATAGTTTTTGGGTTTAAAAGTGACACAGCAGTCTTGACTTTTACTTTTCGCTTTCTCTCCTCCCCTCTTTTTTTGCTTTTCTTGCCTCATTTTTTTTTTCTCTTGCTGGGCATTTAGTAGGCTTCATTTTGGTGGGAATAGTTTTTAGGAAAGCTTTTAGGATCTTAGGATTAGGGGAAAGGAAAGGTAGGTGGGCAATGGAACAAGATTTTCATGGAGATTTTCAGGTCAATGTTACATGGTTTTTTGCCTCTTTCTCCGGTATCCTTGACTGAATTGTGCTCATTCTGGTATGGTTTGAAAGATCTCTTCACTCTGCACAAGTTAGCAGGCAAAGTTGTCCTTGACTGTTAAAACTGATGACGTCACGAAGGGTACCAAGCTACCAAGGTATCAAGCTTAAGACTGTGCAAGAAAGATAGACATTTGCCCAGAGCTCTGAACCTGTGAAATCCAGGGTGTCCAGCATATGATTTATAATTATATGAAAACAATTAAGATTTTCTCGTAGCCCGAGAGCAAAAGTTAGGTGCCAGGATTCACTGGGCACTGCTAGAGCACACCTTTGATCAACTTATCATCGATTCTTTACCTACACTGTAGGCACAAGAAATTCCACAAAAATTTCAGTCATACCATGCAAGCAGGCACTACTCACAAGTACAACTGGAAAAATCATATTACCTGTACTGTTTTGAGACCAAAAATACTCTTATTTTTGGTGGCTTAGATTATTTATCTCTGTTAAACTCTTTACAGGTTAAAACATTTTGAAGTGCTTTCAGTCAAAATACTTAAAAAAATATCGTGGTTAACTTGCCAAGAGCGACTGCTTCATTCAGTGCAGATCTTATCTCAAAAGCAACCTGTTTTAGAGATCAAGCTTTTGCACAACTACAATGTTAATTTGAATTATGATCTTTGTTTATAATAACAAATATTAATTATCATTGAAATATAACTAGTTAAAAACCTGTTTTTGTTTCATGTAGGCTTCGCTTAAAAACTGATCAAGAAAAATGTATGGCATGGATAAGACAAGGTCTCAAGGAGAATACACTGAGCAGCTACTTGAATGCTATCAGTCAGGATGAAAAACTTCTGAGGTACACTTCATATGATTTTATAAATTATTGTGATTATCTTCTAAATTAGATTGTTTATTTTAATATTTTAGTTAGTGATTTTTTATTTTCACAAATACAACCAAATGTACTTTTATTAAGTAAAGTAAAAAATATTATAACATGAAGTTTTTGAATATACAATAGTTTAATTTTTTCTTTAGGGCAAATTTTAATTTCCTGTTTTTGGTTATATGATAATCAGTTGTTTATATATGTACGATAATGAGTTCCTAATGAAAGAAAAATATTCAAAAAAGCAAGGGTTACCTTGAACCATAACATGTTATGTAGTGAAGAAAGCACAGTTGTGCAGAGATCAGAATTGGCGTACCGATGTATAAGCAAACCATAATAATAAATTATTTTGTTAGACTAGTTTACTAAAACATTGCAAGATTCAAATCAGGCATCTGTGTGCACTGTAAATTCTCTATTGAGCCCCCTCTCTAATAAGTTAATAAGCCCCCCCCCCCCCCCCCCCCCCCCCCCCCCCCCCCTCATTTTTCTTTATTCAATTATTTATTCCCCCTTTTAATAAATCATTTTTCTTTAGCTTTTTGTTTTTTTTTCCTTTTTTTTGTTTTCTTTTTTGTTTTTTTTTTTTTTTTTTTATCCTCCTAATTTTTTTTTTTTTCTTTT